TTTTCCCACTTCAGAGCATTGAAGGAACACACCCTGCTGGGTAGAAGAAAGAAGAGATCCTCATTTATGCCAAACATGTTTCTGTACTTGGGTTTAATAGAAATGTTGCAGGATTTTTTACCTGCATACTGGGGATTTGTTGCCTTGCCACTTTGAAGAATGAAGTGCTGGACACAAAATGGGCAGCGGGTAAAAGTTTATTAGAGTATAAGATTAGAAAATAAGAGTAGTATGAAAGCTCTCTTTACAGAGAGGGGACATTCAAAGGTGAATACCCACGACTAAGGCAAGGGTCGTTGTTTTATAAGTTTCTCTACCTTCTTCCCTTCCCTCTCATTCTTTCTCAGGTTCTACTCTTACTGGCTGGATAACTCTAGATGCTGGGTTGTCGATTCCTGATTGGCTCCATTCCATTGATTAAGGAGTCAGACTGTGGCCATATTGTCCCTCCTATAACATAAGTTTTATGGTTTGCTTTTTTTTTGGTAAGGTATTTTGATTGTCAAATTCCTGCGGGAACCTGAGGAGGAGTAGGTGGTATCTGTTACATTCTCAAGAGGGACTTTATGCCTGAGGGGGTTTGCTGTGGTCAGAGGCTCCCAGCATTGTTTCAAAATGTGTGTTTTTCCCCACCCAGGGACCTCAGGTCCTAACCTTTCCCTCTCTGTCTATTTTATACTATCTTTCCCTATCATAAAGTTATACAAATTATCTCATTTTACTAGTTTGCAATAACCTTTATTTCACCTTGCCACCATAATGAAGAACAGTGGAAAGAACTTGGACTTAAGGGTTATGTCCTTAGTTTTTGGCCCTGGGTTCCAGAGACCCAGGGCTCTGCAGAGACAGACAAAGAAAAATCAGGTAGTAGGTAGTAAATTTGGGGAGAAGTTAATATTTTCTAAGTGTTTATGATAGAATTTAACTTCCCTGTTAAATTTTGAACTCTCATTTCTCTGTAGACTCTACTAATGGGAAGGGTACATAGTGTTCAAATTAGGGGCATTTTTGTGTTAATGTGACTTTTTTGGAGGGTATGGGAAGCTGAGATGTGTTAAAAATAAACTGAGGCACATTAAAATTTGTAAAAGTTTGAGTGTATATATCCATTCAAACTGGGGCAGCACTAAACTGAAAGTGTTTAGTAGTAGTCTACCAACAGGAGCTAAGAGAGAAGTATTTATAGAGAAGATATGGAAGTGAACCTAGGAAATTACTTGACTGGGTATCACTTAAGTGATGGCCTTATTTGGGAAAAATCTAGGTGGCTGTTTGTAATTGACTGTTCTTAAGTTTCACTCTTACATTTGAGTGCATTGACTGTGGCTTAGATTTGGTTTGTTTGCATAGACTACCAAGGCATTAGAGCCACCCCAGCCTAATGGTCTCCTTATTTAATTATTTTAATGGATGGATTTATCATGAGTTTGACAGTAGAATGGAGGTGGGGCATGAATTTTTGGTTCAGGACATGGTATGCTCCTAAAGTAAACGTAATTACACCCCTGTCCTGGCCCATTTCAGAAATTTTGGGGGCAAAATATGTAGCCCCACTTCACCAGTCTCAAAGAGAGATAAGTATTGAGGGATAGGCCAAGTGAATGAAGCAATGCATTGGCTTACGTATTTTCTGTTAAAGCCAATGGTTGAGAGAGAATTTGGCAGGGTTGAGAGAGAAGTGAGGAAAGGAAACTCTTGGCATCTTTCCTCAACCTAGGAAAATCTCCCTTCTTGATCCTCTGAGCCCACAATCTCCACTGTCCTCTTCAAGCATAAGGAGCTCTCAAATGATTGGTTAGATTCTGAATTGCAATCTATGCATTCTAACTAGTCACATTCACTAGTGGTGGTATTACCATGCAATACAAGGTTACCAGGGCTGGGAGGCTCCTTTCTTCAAGTCCTTCCTTCCATGATGCTGGATAGGCAAACTATGGCAGGGCATACTCACTGCAATGGGCTGTGCAATCTTGTTTTTCTCTTTACTTCCTCTCATCTGCATGTTGCATCTTGCAGCAAGAACTTTTGACTCACTGGCCAGCAGGTGTTAAGACTGAGATTAAGGAACAATTAAGAATGTTTCTTTGGGCCTTGTGCCTAAATTTTGGGTTCCATTCCAACTTTATCAGAGAACATGCCACTAAGGGTTATTGTACCCAGATAATAAAACAGTGCCTTAATTTTTAATTGATATTCTTCTTTGTGAGTTCTCCCTCAGGAATGTCAGAAAGAACAGTTATTATTGACAGAAGAGGATTTTCACATTTGGAAAACCTTGGCTATTAGGATGATTGGTTTGCTTGTGATTAAGGAGTTTCTTGGGACACAGGACTTTCAGTACTAAAACCAGGAAAGTTCCTGACAAGCCAAGATGAATTAATCACCCTAGAAATGTCATCTTAAGGCCATTAAACCCCAGACATGAATTCAATTTCTACTACTTATGCAACCTTGGCTATGTTACCAACTCTATTTGAGCCTTAAGTCCCTCAGCTGTAGAAAGAAGAGTTTTTATGAACATTAAATTAGATGATATTAAATCATCCTAAAATATTTCCTGTCCATGGTGGGTGCCACATTAATATGTTTTCCTATTTCATTGTTTTGTACTTTTATTGGTGCAACAGAAATAAAATGATAGTCTAAGAAAAAATAAAATAGGAAAAGTTGAAATACTTTTCTGGTTTAAAGAATTGGAGAAGTTTTCTGAGTCCCCTTTCTTTCCAGCTTTTCATCTTGATGTTAAGTGCATCAAGATCGAACAACAGAACAGTGATTATATTCCATTCTTGTAAATGAGGGACCAAATATTCAAATAACTACAGGGGCCACACAGGGAACATGAGTGAGTGAAATGGGATGAATGGGATTTGTGACAAACAAGTACTAGCAGATTGTGGCCACAAGGGAGGGAGAGCCCAGGAGGCCAGATCTTATCAGTTTTCTTTTCCCAAAGAAGCCATATATATAGTTTTAAATGTGAAATATACTTTTTTGAGTATGTTGACATCACATTTAGAACTTTTAAAAACAATGTATTAGCCAATCAAAACATTTCAGGGACTTTAATCCTCTCATTGAACTGTGTTATTGGGTAAGAGAATGTAATTGGATGTCACAATAAGACAAAGAAAGTTTATTCTACCCAGATGGAGTAATTACCATTATTAAAAGGAAACCAAAGTAATTAAATTATGATCAAAACAGAAAAAAAATAGGGAATTGCCAGACTTTGAATTCAGGTTATCTTGTAAATCTAACAACTCAAGACTAAACCTGTGGGGTTGCAAAATTGTAAAGGTAGAACCTGCTAAACTAAGGCTTCATGAAATTCTCGCAAGCATTAGCTGACAGATTTCAAAACAGTGGGAATATTAGTCATCACATATATGCCTGCCAAAAAGGGTAGTGTGTTAAAAGAACATCTGCAGCCCACATAAATACCCCTCGCTGAGTTTAACTCAGAGAGGAAATCAGCTTCAAAAGTTGCAGAAGGCAAAGAAGCTGAAACAGCAGTTTTACAGTAAGTGGTTGAGTGACTTTCCTGTGGGTGAAACTGTTATTGAGGAGCTAGTTAGCTCCCAATATATTACATGTTTGACCTCTAGCTTTTGGTGACAAGAGCTTTGGAGGATATATTTGGACTTCCCCTACTCAAGGAATCATTTACACTGTACACACTGAATGCCAATTCTGTTGAGTATGGGCATACTAAATGATTTATACTCCTGAGTTACAGTAGTACCATGAAATGAGGGAAAAACTCACTTAACCCATGAAATGAGGAAAAAACTCACTGAACCCTTGGATGTACCTAATTGCATGATAAGACCAATAAGGCCAACAAATCATAGCAGCTGCTAAAGAAGCAGCAGAGCCCCTGGTAGTAGTATTGTCTTGAACTTTTTCAAAAAGCATAAAACTATAAATTCTAACAGAACCAGCCTGCCAAATGGAAGGTGATCTGAAGAATTATCACTTTTATGGTCTAAGCCTTTTGATTTTTGGAGCCTTCATTACTGGTGGCAGACTATTACTCAGTGATCTAACCACATTGTTTTGCCACAAGACAGAGGAGGTTTGTGATCTGTAGCAGATTTCTGTGGGTCCTGGATGTCTGGACCAGAAGCTCTATAAAGAGAAATTCGTGTACATAGTTATTACTGAGGATAGCTATACGGTTTCTTCCTTCAAAGATATGTGTTTAGTGTCTTTTCTTTTTTTGACTCAATATATCCAAACAGCACAACTGTAGAGAAGGGGACATGATTTTCTTTGTGTCTTTTGCTTTCATTTATTCTTGGTTAAAGGGAAAGAATTGATTAGTTTAAATGCTGCACTGTGACTACCAGTTATATAAATCCATAGAGAAAGAGGGGAAGTCATATACTAAACTCTTTCTTCGTTCTCAACTTAAAAGAAAATTCCCATGAAATCATCTTAGGTCAAATCAGAGCCATCAATTAATCCCTATCACATTGGTAGACTTTGTGAAATCTGATATGTGAGTGAGGTTATAATTCGGGAATTAGCTTTTTGTTATTTTTTTAAATAGTTTATTGTCAAGTTGGTTTACATATAACACCCAGTACTCATCCCAACAAGTGCCCTCCCCCATGCCCATCACCCCTGTTCCCCTCTCTCCCACCCTCATCAGCCCTCAGTTTGTTCTCAGCATTCAAGAGTCTCTCATGATTTTTGAACTTAGAAAATGTTGCTGATGAAAGGTGATCTGTTTTATTCTTAATCTACAGTTCACCAGTTATGCAGCTTAAGGAGCCTGTTTGAAACAATAAGAATCATGACTCAAGATCTCAGAATGATTGCTTGCAGGTTTGTCCAACATGAGATAATTTCGTGGAATGGATTGTTTAAAGACAGTAAGAATCCATGATGAAACTACACTCCGGAGTTTGAAAAGAGACAGGGCTGCTTTAAGAGAGAAACAGGAAGTTGTAACGAGAAGCCGTATGAATACTAAGCTAAGGCAGAATGCTCATGAAGTAGCAACTTAAGTGGTAGTGTTTATTCTGAAATTTTCAGGCAGTTAGACTGTTTCAGGCAAATCTGAATAAAATAGTCCTTATCCAGGTTTTTATCTAAGGAATTCCAAGAAGACTAGAGAATGGAAAGACAGCAAAGGTTTACGTCAGAGAAAGAGTATCAGTTTCAACATCAGGGAGCGGTGGAGCTGCTTGTCTTTAATTTTTTGCTTATCCTTACCATTTTGACAATCTGGTTATTTAAAAATCATCGATTTCGCTTCTTGCATGAAACCGGAGGAGCAATGGTGTATGGTGAGTGCAGAAATTGTAGGATTGATGTGAAACTTGTTGCTTGGGTGTAATTAGAGACTTGTGCTCAGATGGCAAAGTATTGAAACTAGAGAAAATGTGCTGATTGAAATGTCATTAGCTTGATGAAAGGTGCTGCACATAATGAATGCTCATCTCTTTCCAGATGAGCTGCTGAAATTTGCCCTGTCACAAGAGTAAATATCATAGTCGTGTTCTCACACGGCACATAATGTGAGTCTGTTGACAGATGTGGGTCCATTGTCATGTGGGGAGTCAAACGGAGCAAACTGTTTGTTTTTGTAATGATAGATATTGGGAAGTCAGGACTCTGCAGTCACAAAGAGCGGCTGTTTTTTCACAGGAGAGATTGAGGAGCATTATAAAGTTCTGGAAATAGCATTATTTAAAACTATATAGAGTGAATCATCTTATGTCAACTAGTTTCAAAAAGGAAACTTGCAGAAACATACCCCACCCCTGCTATCAGAATAACTGTAACCAAAACCATTTTTATTATATGGGCAATGTTTTATTATTCAAGAGTTTCTTTACTCAGTACTTTTCATTTCTTAGCCTGATTTCACACTAATTTATACTTATTGTCATTTTTAATATTATTTGCTATATACTTTTTGGAGGGGAAGATCTGGAAAAGCATTTAATATTTTAAACTCCCAAAGTATTCTTCTTTCTGTACAATTTACCACGTCATTCCTTTCAGAAAGTTTAATAAAATGTGACAGAGATTATCTATGCTGTACTCTCATCTTTGAAACTACAATGCAAGACACCAGGAGTTTTAAAACTTACTTTACCATTCTTATCTCAGCCTGATAATGGATAGGAACTTTGAACACAGTGAAAACAAGTGAAGCATTGCTATAATTTATAGCAAAAAATGTACTTTTATATTTTGCTTCCCTCATTTTGGATGTCTTGAAGCCTTTTAGATCCCTGAAGTTCAGGGCACAGGATCAATTTTATATGCTAGCCATGTGACGTCCTGATGATAACAATGTACAGTCATGATTTGAGACCTTAAACTAGATTTTAGCTTAAACTAGATTCCACTGTGAGATACTTGAGCTAGGAACTAAAAGTTATAGGCTAAACAGTATACTTTATTTTAGAAGACTGATGTGCTGATCCTTTCAAAGCAGAGTTAAATTCCTTTGTATTGAGGGTCTTAAAGCACAAAACAAAACGCTCATTTGAGGGGAAAACACAATCAGGTTGAAGAAAATGTCAAACAGAAAGGAAGTGATTCTGTAAGATGTAAAGCCCTAGGTAGCAGTCATTTGCCCTTCTCCATTAACAGTGAACCATGATCTTTCTCTTGACTTGGCTAATAAATAATCAAAGAGGATATGGGATGTAATCTGAGAAGCCAGAAACAATGTAATTCTTGGCACTAAGTTAGAGGATTACATATGGTTTTGCAAAAACAACACAGATTTTTAAATTATAAACTTTTATTAAAAGACAAGATTTCTTCACAGCACTGAATATGATTAAACTATGACCCATTTTACCAATTTCAGCTAATCCATGATAGATATACTTTTTTGTAAAGCATTTGTAAAAATTTGTAAAATTTTGGTGGTTTCTTAAAATTCATCCATACTTTGTACTCGTAATATATAAGTGCAACTTTTACTTATGAGCCTGGCAAAGTTCTAGATTCCCTTTATTCTCAAAAACTTAATGAAATACTTTTAAGTTATGGTTGAAGTCATAAAATATTAGTATATTGCACAATATTTCAGATAGCATTTCTTTAAATTGCTATTCTTAAGGCTATAAGAAGAAGTGGTTTTTAAGAGTGGTATTAAGTTGTCTGATTTCTGTTCCTCTGAATTTTTATATGTAAGTTATTGAAAGCGAATTCTGAAACAGTGCAAAGTAAAATATTATAAAAATAATGAAAACATGCATATGTATGCATAACTATTCCTTTACTAGAATTTTGAGTATCCTTAAGTTATCTTAAACTATATAAGTGAATGAAAATACGTTCACTTTAATGTTTAATTTTTTTGTTGGTATAGAATTATAATTGTTGAAATTTAAGGGGATCTTAGAGGTTATCTTCTCTAGCCCCTTCATTATACAGAGGAAGAAATTAAATCTCAGAGCAGTGAAGTAACTTCCCAAAAATTGAACAGTCACTCATAGCAAGGTTCATGTGCTTTTATACATATGCATGTCTAGGGGCGCCTGGGTGGCTTAGTCGGTTAAGCGTCCGACTTTCGCTTAGGTCATGATCTCACGGTTCGTGGGTTCGAGCCCCGCGTCGGGCTCTGTGCTGACTGCCAGCTCAGAGTCTGGAGCCTGTTTCAGTCTGTGACTCCCTCTCTCTCTGACCCTCCCCTGCTCATGCTGTCTCTCTCTCTCCTAGAAATAAATAAAAAATAAAACATCAAAAAAAAAATTAAAAAAAAAAATTATACATACGCATGTCTAGAAGGTTGGTTCCTGTTCATCATTATATCTGAAATATTTATTAGGCACTTTCTGTCAGTGATAAAGTAGTCTGAAACTGCAACAGAGGAACAAGATTGGACATTATAATAAACATGTTTAAATAAGAAAGAGGAAAGAAAATGTCAAGTGATGAAGTGCCCCGTGCCTATAAATGAATTTGAGATTCACAAATTGGGAAGGAGTCTTAGAGATCATAATTCCAACATCTTAATTTCACAAGCAAGGAAAAGAAAACTTAGCTAGGTGAGGGTCATATAATTAGCTGCTGAGTTGGGTTTCAACTTCCATCTCTACTAAGACATTCTGCCTTTCTACTAGTTATTTTGCTGAAATGTGTCAAATGTCCTTTAGAAGAAAAAGTAGATGTTAATACATTTTATCAGTATATCAGGAATCCAACTTAAAAATTTTAAGGAGCAGGGGCTTAGGAAATGAGCAGTTAAAGAAAAATGAGGAGAAAAGTTAAAAAAACAGAACATTTAATTGCTCTATTATGGTTACTGTTAGAAACAATTTAAAAGTTGTTAACCTTAAAATATCTTATGAAGGATTGTAGAGGCCAAGGAAAACTGTGTAGTATTGTTTGATTTCTATGTTCATTGGAGATCAATCTGATACTCCAACTACAAATAATCTATTATGTGAAAAATACCTTCTTTTTTGACATTAAGAGTCCTATGATGCTTTTAAAAATCAGTGTCAGCATTATTTTTTAACCATACTTTTGCTTCATGAGGAACAGTAATGGGTAATTGTGTTTCATGACATTCTGCGGCTCTCATTATTTCAAAATTCAGGAATTCAAATCTACCTGGTTTATATCTTAAGCCTTGATGATAGTCATTTAAATTGGACTAATAGCTTAAATGACTGTTAATGGCCAAAATATTGACTGACAGCAGCTGGTGCACTTAGTGCTGCTCACTTAAGGCCCTGTATCCCATGCTCCTTGTTCATAAAAGAAAAACCTCTCCTTATTCCCCGATAGCATTAAGAATTTCATTACACATCACGGGCAGTTCTCATACTTTATAGGGCATTCATAATCCCATACATTTGAGAGTTGGGATCTCAGCTTAAGGACAGAAACAATTGAAAGTCTTAGAAGTCTGTCTTTGATTTATGGCCTTACAATATAAGGAACAGTCTCTGAACTAATGTGGAAATTTGCTCACTGGTTAGCAGACAGAAGAGAAATCCCAAGACACAAAGTTTAGATTTTGAATTCATCAAACTATGTCATGTTAAACTATGTAAACTATGTCTGATCATCTAACAGTATACTTAACAATATGATAAGGTCAAATAATTTACTCAATAGCTTTTTTTTTTTTGAAATTTAAAGATAATGCAGTTACATGTGGATCACTAAGGTTTAAAAGCTATCTTTCTTGAAAAATCATAGGGTACTGATTTCATCCTAGCACTGGTTGGAAGTTCCTGAGGATAAAATTGTGCTGCTGAACATCCTGGGGCTCCACCCTACTGGCCCATTTTGCTCTGCTCCAGTCCAGCACTGCTCCTTGACTGCCAGGCCCATTGGAGTTGTTTACTACCACTTTGCCCACTTTGCCCTCTTCGCCCTGCCTGGAAAGCCCTTCTGAGGCTTTGTACTTATTCAAATGTGGTATGCTTTAATGGAGAAAGCATTTGATTCTCTCTTGGGGATTTGGGTTTTTAAATCTTGATGACTTTTTTTTTTTTCAGTAGCTAGATGCATTACTCTGGCCAAGTGACTTAATCTCTGTCCTTATTTCTCTTATCTGTAAAATGAGGAAGAAATGAAAACTCCCTTCCAGCTTCAAAAGTCCTTCAAAATTTAGGCCAAGACTAACTTCAGCTATCAGGCATCTCTCAGTCACTTCAACCCAACTAGTAGCTTTCTTCCTAGAACCCTACCAGCCTATAATGATATTCAGGCCTTTCTTGCAGATAGGATTTTAGTTAGTGTTACTTTACCACTCTTAGTTCTTTTAGTCCTGCTCTGATTTTGCAATGAGTGCTCAGTAAATCCTATTGAATTCCTGTCAGAAAGGTAAGGAGAGCCAGTTATAGCATCAGAACAGGGAGGGCAGGTTGAGATTCAGTGGCTTATGGATGTATGTCATGTGAAAATCAGAGTGGTTCTGGTTTAATTTGAAGGGAACTGCAGGAAAGGTAATTAGGGTTAAGAGTCCAGTGAACTCAACTTGCTCTCCCTTTAGTGTAAAAAGGTCAATTTTAAGAAGCTTCAGAGATCATGGCAAGATTTTCCATGCTGTAAAGTGTTAGTCAAATAAATGTTGAAAAAGTGAAAAAATTCAAGGCATATTGCTCTCTGTAGGTTTTCAGAAGTTGATTTTAAGAAAATAACCTCCTATACAATCGGTTGTGCTTCTGAATCTCTAAGGAGCTACAGAGGAAACCCTGCATACAAACTGTTGTGATGCCTCAAAAGATCCTCTCTCAGGGTATTAAAGGATGATAAGTGTACACATCAAGAAAACGAATCTATGATTCAAACTGTTTATGGAGAT